TGGCGGAAACGAATTTCATGACAAGTGGATAATGGATTCAGGTGCAACTTGGCATATGACCCCACACCGAGATTGGTTTCAAACCTACAAGCCTATCTCGGGTGGATCCGTGTTCATGGGAAATGACCATGCATTGGAGATTGCTGGAGTTGGTACTTGTCAAATTAAAAATGTATGACGGTACTATTCGCACAATCCAAGAAGTACGACATGTGAAGGACTTGAAGAAAAATATATTGTCTATAGGGCAATTGGATGACCTCGGCTGCAAGATCCATGTTGAAGGAGGAATCTTAAAGGTAGTGAGGGGAAACATAGTTGTCATGAAAGCAGAGAAAATCATGGCAAACTTGTATGTGCTTATGGGAGACACCTTGCAAGAAAATCATGCAACAACTGCGTCGACAAGCCAAGAAGAAGCGGCGATAACGTGGCACCGTAGACTTGGACATATGTCAGAGCGAGGTTTGCAGATTCTTGCGGAACGTGATCTCATACCTGGGCTCAAGAAGGTCGATTTACCCTTCTGTGAGCATTGTGTGACAAGCAAACAACACAGGTTGAAGTTTGCAAGAACCACCACAAGGAGTAAGCAAACTTTGGACTTGATCCATTCTCGATGTCCGGGAATCACCGGAATTATCTCTCGGAGGAGCAAAATATTTTGTGTCGTTCATCGATGACTACTCGAGGAGATTATGGGTATACCCTATCAAGAAGAAGTCCGAAGTATTTGCGCGGTTCAAAGACTTCAAAGCACAAGTAGAACTTGAGACCGGAAGGAGAATCAAGTGTTTGAGGACAGTACAATGGAGGAGAATATGTAGATGGAGATTTTCTAGCATTCTCGCAAGCAAGAAGGAATTGTGAGACAATTTTCTGTTCCACACACGCCTCGCAGAATGGTGTAGCAGAGCGGATGAATAGAACTCTTCTAGAGAGAACCGGAGCTATGCCGCAAACTGCAGGCATAACAAAGTCTTTCTCGGCGTAGCCGTAAATACTGCCTGTTACTTGATAAATCGGTCTCCATCAACAGGCAATTGGGTTGAAAACTCCTATGGAAATGTGGAGTGGAAAATCAACCGATTATTCTTCCTTACATGTGTTTGGTTGTCCCGCGTACGTGATGTACAACACCCAAGAAAGGACGAAGTTGGATCCAAAATCCAGGAAATGCATCTTCTTGGGATATGCCGACAATGTGAAGGGGTATCGCTCGTGGGATCCTACCGCCCACAAAGTTATTGTTAGCAGAGATGTCGTCTTTGCAGAAAATGAACTGCAAAGCAAGCGGATAAATGACAGACTCGGAAAAGGACAAGACTATAGTACGGATAGAGAAGAAGACTTCGGAACATTCCTCCGAGTCGGAGGAGGAGCATGAAGAACATGAGCCAAATGAGGTGGAAGAAGGAGAACTCCGACGATCAACAAGAGAAAGAGTCGGACCATCTTGGCATTCACAATATGTGATGGCAAGTCATGATGCGTATTGTCTCCTAAGTGAAGAAGGAGAACCTTCAACTTTTCAAGAGGCCGTGAGTGGTTCGAAGCTCCTCTATGGATGGTCGCTATGGAAGAAGAAATTGAAGCTCTTCATAAAAACAAGACATGGCATCTTGTGGAACTTCCAAAAGGTCGCAGAGCCATTGGTTGCAAATGGGTCTATAAGATCAAGAGAGATGCCAATGATCAAGTAGAAAGATATCGTGCTAGACTGGTGGTAAAAGGATATGCTTAGAAAGAAGGCATTGATTTCAACGAGATATTCTCACCAGTTGTTAGATTGACAACAATCGAATTGTCCTGGCGATGTGTGCTGCATTTGATTTACATCTTGAGCAATTGGATGTAAAAACCGCTTTTCTTCATGGAGAACTTGAAGAGGAAATATATATGCTCCAACCGAAGGCTTCAAAGAGCAAGAAAACTTGGTTTGCAGGTTGAACAAATCTCTATACCGGCCTAAAGCAGGCGCCAAGGTGTTGGTATAAGAGATTTGATTCCTTCATTATTAGCCTCGGATACTACGGACTAAGTTCGGACCATTGTACTTACCACAATAGGTTTGAAGAAAATGATTTCATCATATTGCTCGTTGTATGTGGATGACATGTTGGTGGTAGGCCCTAACAAAGCTCGAATCCAAGAATTGAAGGCACAATTGGCTAGGGAGTTTGATATGAAGGACTTGGGACCAACAAACAAGATTTTAGGGATGCAAATTCACCGAGACAGAAAAGATAGGAAGATTTGGCTTTCTCAAAAGAATTATTTACTTAAGATCTTGCGGCGCTTCAACATGCAAGATTGCAAGCCAATTTCTACCCCACTTCCTGTCAACTGTAAGTTATCTTCAAGTATGAGTCCTAGCAGGTGAAGCGGAGAGGATTGAAATATCTCGAGTACCGTATGCATCGGCAGTGGGAAGTCTTATGTATGCCATGATTTGTACAAGACCGGACATTGCACAAGCAAGTGGGAGTGGTTAGTAGATTCATGGGGAATCCTGGTGGAGAACATTGGCAAAATGTGAAGAGGGTCCTTAGGTATATAAAAGGAACCTCAAATGTTGCATTATGTTATGGAGGATCGAAGCGGTTGTCAGAGGTTATGTAGATTCGGATTTTGCAGGTGATCTGGATAAAAGGAAGTCTACTACTGGTTATGTGTTTACCATCAATGGAGGGGCGATAAGTTGGTTATCCAAGTTACAAGATGTGGTAGCTCTGTCTACTACTGAAGCTGAATACATGGCTGTCACCCAAGCATGTAAAGAAGCTATCTGGATTAAAAGAATAATGGGGGAACTTGGTCACAAGCAACAACAAATTGTTGTGTACTGTGATAGTCAAAGTGCCTTACACATTGCAAGGAATCCAGCCTTTCATTCAAGGACAAAACACATAGGAATAAGATATCATTTTGTTCGAGAAGTAGTAGAAGAAGGAAGTGTAGACTTACAGAAGATCCACACTGAAAAGAACCTAGCAGATGTAATGACAAAACCGGTTAATGCTGACAAGTTTATATGGAGTCGATCCCTCTATGGCCTATCGGAAGCATAAGCAACATGGATGTGAGAGAAGAAGACATAGTGTGAAGATTTGATTAATTTCATCAAAATCTTCAAGTGGGAGATTGTGAAGGAAGAAGTCCCACATCCGTGGGAACTTCAATTGGGGGCTCTCCTCCTTCTTATAAAAGGAGCCCCTCCCCCCTTATTTCATAGATCCCAAATATTTTTCCTTCTTTCTCTTTTACTTTCCTAGTATTGGTAATTTCCAATTGTAAAAGGAAAGAGTGGTCATTATAAAATTTTCATTTTTGCCTATTGTCGGGGTTATTTTTCTCGTCTCTATTTTAGTTGTGTGTATTTATGCTTTGGTACTTCGATCCTAACAAGTGAACAGAATGAACATAAATCTTATAATGTGATACATGCTTCTATTCCACATTCACATCCTCAAGAAAATCCAATGACGGCTAGATTTTTCCGATTTTATATCATTCTATTTTGTACGTAAGTTCTTTTTAAGGTAAGATCATTTTAGATCAAGAATGGATAATAATGCGAAATGATTTTGTTTATATAATAACTTTGTTGTCTTTTGCAATAATTATCTTAAAGTGACATCAGCAATAATTAATAATTTATTAATGATGTACTTTTTTTTATGATTATAATTAATACATATAGAGCGCATATTAAAACGTTTACACAAACAACGTATAGGAATTAAACTTGTTACTTAAGTGTTTTTTTTATAAGAGAGAAAAAATAATTTCAATATATCTTATTTGTGTTTCTATGGATGTGTCCCTTGTTCAAAATAATTTTACAAGGATTTTAGCAAATAAAACGATATTTAGATGAGACTTTGTGGCAAAATACTTTTTATTCTTTGAAAAAAAAAACTAGTTTGTTTTTAAGTCACTTAACGTGTTTTATAAAATTTAAACTATTTACTAAATTTTCAAAATATTTCTGAAAATATGCTTCAACCTAAAAGTGTTAATAATATATTTTTAAATAACTTTTAACTTTTTCACTAAAACCTTTTGAAACTTATAAAATGATCATTGTGAGAGTTATCTACTTTTTATACCATAATTATAATTTCTAATTTTGAGACTGAAACATTTATTGGACTATTAAAAATATACTGTTAAATCCAATTTAAAGATAGAAATAAATGAGGATTAATGGAAAGAGATAAACAATTAGGACAGTCTAATACACATACACAAATAACAAGATTACTAATTTCAGATAGTTGTGAGATAATTTCCAGTTAATTACACTATTAATGTGTAAAGAAATGCACATCATAAAAACAGCACATGGACATTATTAAGAATGTTTTGTCCAGTAATTGAGAGAAGTAAAAGTCCCACTCTTATGTGATTCAATTTAAAGAGTAAAAAAAAATAAGTAGATTTTTTGAAGCAACTATGTCTTATTTCATTAAAACAACAAGTCATTTTTTTAATTATTTTATATTTTGAAAATAATTTTATGCTTTATGGTTTAATTTTTATAAGTTGTCTTTTGTATACAGAAGTCGATACATTTTACAAATACCAATACATTTTGGAAGAGTTTGTTGTCGGGACATGAATAGTGAAAACTACACTTCCAGAAAAGAATCATACTTGCAGCATTAAGAAAAAAAAAAACAGAGAACAAAAGTGAACCATTAACAAAATATTATTTACCTTGAAATAAAAATTAACAAAAATAATTATAGATTTTTTAAATTAATCCAAGTGAGTAGTAGAAGTAGTTGAGTATAATTTACGTTTATTATTATTAATGATTATTAGACCGAGAACATATTTGTCAAATAGATCATGCTCCCACTTCTCTCTCATATCATAGGCACCTTCCTACTCCAATTATTATTTATGTCTCTTATGGTAATTAAATTAAATATCTCTCTCTCTACACATAGGAAACTCTCTCAACAATTCTTCACTTTCTCTTTCCCTGTTCCATGGCCACCTCTGACTCTGTCCTGGACTCACATGTCTCACTCATGCACTATTCCTCCACTGAAGATGACCAAGACGACGATGACGACGAGGATGAGGAAGACACAAACCTCGATTTCTACGACACCAATGTCGACTCCGAAGACGAGTACAAGAAGCCCGACACCTTTTCCGGCAGCAGTTTCCGGCGGGATTTCGGGGTGGTGCTGGACCCGCGAGCCAAGTGGGTCCAAGAATGGAACAGGGTGTTCCTCCTGGTGTGTGCCACTGGACTTTTCGTCGACCCTCTGTTCTTCTACGCGCTCTCCATAAGCGACACGTGTATGTGCCTCTTCCTCGACGGCTGGCTCGTGGTCACCGTCACCGTGCTCCGGTGCATGACCGACGCGTTGCATGTGTGGAACATGTGGCTCCAATTCAAGATGACTAAACGCTCTTCTTTTCTTGCCAGAGACGTATACGCCTCGCGCGGTGGTAGATGTGCTCTTCGCTACCTCAAGGCTAAGAGGGGTTTCTTCTTCGACATCTTCGTCATCCTCCCCATTCCCCAGGTTGGTCATTCTTCTTCTTTTCTTCTACCATCTTCATCATCCTAACAACCAAACACTGTATGAAGTAATACTCACTTTATTGATATATATATATATATATTTACAGTTAATGTGCATGATGGTGTTAAACCATTTTACATTATTTTCTTTATAGGTATTTAACTTTAACTATATAATTATTTTAAATTTTATATTTAAATTTTAAAATAGTCATTGTAAAAATTAATAATTTTATCATATAATAATATATTTACAGTGAGTGAGAATGGTATTTTACAATGATGGTATTAAAATTAGAATTTAATATTCTTTAAAAATACTATATAATTATAATGAAACGAGGAATTATATTGTTAAATTATAAATTTATCGAATAAAACTTGTTTGAAGAATAAGCGTGGTTATGAGGTCGATAAATTATGAAATTTGTGTCTTCGTAAAAAAAAAAAAAAAAAAGATTTTGACTAGGAGATATTTTTTTTTTGGAAAAAGTGATAATAATTTGAAAGGGCGTGTAGTTTGAGGTTTGGGACACTAAGGGTTGAAAGATACGACAAATTGCATGCAACCGCTTGTTGTTTTTTTGCATGGAGATTGTGATGGTTACCGGAGTCACACCTCATGTGAATGAATTTTCATGTCATGTTTTCACGTGACTGTGATTTATCTTTCTCGAAGGTGGTTCTTGTATCACTCATATATATTGAAGACATGTTAAGGGGACATTGTGACTAGGTGATTATTATATGGTTGATGATTATATGTTGTTCCTTTAACAAAGTACACAGGGGAATTAATTAATGTTCTACTTTCTAAATAAACACTAGAAGGTGTCTTGAAAGTAATAATTAATTGGAATGACTCAAGAAGGGTAAGTTGTCAAATTTGTGAGTTAATTTTCTTACTTGCTGTTTATGGAATGACTCTTTTGTCTAATTTGATGTTTTTTTTTTCTTTTTTAAAAAGTTACATTCTATTTAAAGATATGATCTCTCACTTATAAATTATATTTTATTATGCTACGATGAGTTTAACCTGAAGTCCTAACTTAATCATCATGATTTCAATTAATCAACTCCATCCAAATGTTCATGAATTAATCTAAAAAATCACTAATTGAAGATGACACATGCTAGATCGCATAGCATTATTCCACACGGTTTGTTAAACTTGTGGGTACTGATAAATTTTTGCCAAATCTTGCATTTTAATTTCTAGGCAATTCAATTTGTCTAAACTAGTGTTAGAAAAAAACCAACCAAATACATAAGTAATAAATAAATAAATGGATATTTCATCAAATTCTACTTAGATAATTAGTTTGTATTCTACACCACTTCTCTGTTTTAAAATTTATTTTTGAACATGGAGACCTACCATATATTTGCATGACCTCATGTATATAATGTTATGAATATTTGTGTCATATATACAGAAGAGAGATGCTTGTAAATGTCATTATCCATAGGAGGTAGTAAACTCAACAATATATGTGAAGCGTGACTCATATTCAGTGCCTAATTCTTCTTGTAATTATAATTTTTTTATTATAAGTTAAATATGTTTTAAGTTGTATATATATCATAATTTTTTTTAGTATTCTTTAAATTGAATAATTAATAAATAATTTTTTAATTTAATTAAAATTTTGATGTTATTTTTGTCAATTTTATTATTCAGGTGTTTGTTAAATTAAAATATGTGTAATATGATTTAAAATATTAATATTAATATTAATATTAATAATATATATATATATATATATATATATATATATATATATATATATATATATATATATGTGTGTGTGTGTGTGTGTGTGTGTATTTTTTGTATTAACATGTATATGATGCACTTGAAAAATTTATTGATTCGTATCGATAAAAAGTAAGTTAAGAGTCAACACATAAATACAAAAATATTTTAAAAATCATTTAATAGTTCAATACACTATGAAAGATGTAATATGAATAAATTTTAAAAATTTAAACTAAAATTTTATATTTTTTTAAGTATCTATTTAAAGAATTGTTTAATACTAAAAAAACTTAATTACATATTAAAAACCTGAAATTTATCTAAACATCACTCTAAAATATAGCACGGTCACCTTAATATGTTAGTAGGACATAATTGCAATTTTTTTAAGGGTTTGCTTACTAAACATATAGATAGGGTTTCGTACTCATTATAATTTTTGAAATTAATATTTTCATCAGTTTCATTTTTCTGATATGCAGATTGTGCTATGGATGGCAATTCCCTCTCTGTTGGAGAGAGGATCAATTACGTTGGTGATGACAGTGTTCTTAATCGTCTTCCTCTTTCAATACCTTCCCAAAATTTATCACTCAGTTTGCCTCTTGCGTCGCATGCAAAACCTCTCTGGCTACATTTTTGGAACCGTTTGGTGGGGTATCGCCCTCAACCTCATAGCATATTTTGTAGCTTCCCATGTAAGTGATGCACCTTCTTTTCTTTTCATTCAATGTTTATCTCTATATGAACCAATCACACTTTTCCTTTAATTTTCAAGTGTTTTTGCCGGCTTCGGATACTGAGAAAATCAAAATCTCTTTCACACATCTACCACACTCCTCATATATAAGTAGTTTCGTTAGATGTTACTTGAGTCGGCACTTACATGAATACACATACGGTAAAGTTTTAACATAAACGGTTTTTTCATACGTTGAAATACATAATTTTGTCTTTTTGTTTTATGATTTTTATAATTAAGTGTTTTTATTAAAAACTAATGTATCTTAATATTTCATCGTGAAATTCATCATCATAACAAGGGTGAATATAGAAAAACATAAAATATTGTGTATCAATTTATATTTTTTTTGTTTTTAAGAGGAGTGTTAGAAATACTATTAAAAAAGAAAACACAAATCTGTGTGTGTCATTATCCTATATTTTATGTTCGATGTTGTCTATGCTTCATGGATAAAATATAGGGAATGATCTCCTACAAATTCTCCACCAATTACAATTTTATACACATCATTTTTCTTTATAACACCATTTCTTTGAACAAAGGCTTTCAATACTAGAGGGAGTATTTGCTATTCACTAAATTATCAACAAAGAAACACGAATATTCACCGAAAAGAAGGGGGATATCGAGGTGCTTTAAGTTATAAAGCATTACAATTAACCTTTTTCTAGACAAGAAACTGACCTAAAGTAGCCATTTTTTAATTGGTAAAAAGTTAATGAATGTGGATATTTACGGGACTTGAAGAGGGTTAACAATTCTGGATTAATGTGCTGGATGATGGGAAAAGTTGATTTAGCACAGCTTAAATATTTTGAAAACCTAATCAGGCTTGGATTATGGTCTCCATAGGCCAACAACTAGATAGATAACCGTTAATTTCATCAAGATGAAATCTCTACATATATAGACAGCTAGACAGAGATAGAACATATTTTTATAATTCATTTAAAAGTAATTACACAAGGAGAAAATGAAAAGATCACAAGAGTTACATTTCTTTCCCAAAAGCATTGAGATCTTTGGTGAGGGGAAACTTCCTAACTAATTCTAGTTTTGTGTACAGGCAGCAGGGGCATGCTGGTACATGTTAGGGTTGCAAAGGGCAACAAAGTGCTTGGAAGAACAGTGTGCAAAAACAGCTGGTTGTGGCTTGAGAACACTGTGCTGCAAAGTGCCTATATACTATGGAGGCACTAGCATCGTAAGGGACAAAACCAGACTGGGATGGGCTGAAAACAGGGAAGCAAGGTCTACTTGTTTGGACAGTGCTGATAACTACGACTATGGTGCATACGCATGGTCTGTTCAACTCGTCACAAATGATAGCAGATTGGAAAAGATACTTTTCCCTATCTTCTGGGGCCTAATGACTCTCAGGTACCTACCACCATTTTCAAATTTGTGGTCCACTCGTGCATGATTTCAAATATGCTTTATGTTTGTTCTCTTTTGATCCTTTGTTTTTACACATCTTTATCTTGCTCTTTCTCGGGTCATCTTCTCTCAAATAGTGACAGCGAAAAAGTTGATTAGAAATAAGCAGGCCCTTGTCCATACATGGTGTATATTCTTGGCTCTTAAAGTTTGCTAAATTTGCTGATTATTGGTAATGGAAATTTCAACAATACCATCAATTCATGGACCATTTCCTATTAAATATCTACTTTTAGACCCTAAATTTTGTAAGGTTTTGACACGGTAGTGTTTGAATTTAGAAAAATATCAAATAAACTTTTCGAAATTGATGGAATTTGGGATCAAATCAGAGTATTGTATATTATCCACGTTGATGTATAGTTTGTTGCTTCATATTTACTCTAAAACAACATTCTCCTCTCACTAATTTGTTATGGTTGACGTGACCAGCACTTTCGGGAACCTAGAGAGCACAACGGAGAGGCTAGAAGTGATTTTCAACATCATTGTGTTGACTAGTGGCCTCCTTCTAGTGACCATGCTGATTGGAAACATCAAGGTGACAAAAACAATTAAACTGTTAATTACTCTATTGTTCATCATGCCATGTTTCTTTGACTTGGTTGCATATTTTGGTGAGAGTGGTGATCGTTTGACAACCCAAAAAACTAATACACCATCCAAAATAACAGTAGTTGTGACGTGAGAGTTGAATATTTTATTTTTGGGTAGGTGTTTTTGCATGCGACAACGTCAAAGAAGCAAGCAATGATACTGAGAATGAGGAACATTGAATGGTGGATGAGCAAAAGGAGGTTGCCACAAGGGTTCAGGCAGCGCGTGAGGAACTATGAGAGGCAGCGTTGGGCTGCGATGCGAGGGGTTGATGAATGCCAGATGATAAAGAATCTCCCTGAGGGACTAAGAAGGGACATCAAGTACCATCTCTGTTTGGATTTGGTCAGACAGGTAAGCTTGATTAAGGTCACCAATAGTTGTTCCACTCATCATAATTTTTCGTTTGTCTCATACTTATAATTGAGTGCTTAATTAAGTAATTATGCCTAGCTCACACGTGCGGTTCTGTTTCATCGCGCTTACGCGTTAATATTTGTTCAGGTGCCACTGTTTCAGCACATGGATGATTTGGTGCTAGAGAACATCTGTGACCGTGTGACGTCCCTTGTATTCACAAAAGGAGAAACAGTAAGCTCTAAATATCTTTCAATTCCAATATGACTATACAAAATGCTTGGATATGTGTTACTGTTGAAAGATTGATACATTGTAAAATATAAAATCTTATATGTTACTAAAATTAGGAATTTTATATAAGTAATATTTAAAATCCTTAAAATATTCTAAAAATCTTTGAAAGAAGAAGATAGATAATTCTAAAGTTAAGAAAATCTAAAATTATGTAGAATATTTAGAAGATGGTGGATCAAACCTATAAATAGGCAATGCCACTTATGTAATGTGAGTGAAAAATCTAATACAAGCTCGTACATATTTTGTAACACTTCTAAGATTAATTACTATCTTCCCTCATACAAACCTTATCCTATTTGTCCACCTCTTTCTAAAAACTATTTTTTACACTAATCTCACTACTAAACATCAAACCATCTTTCCTATCATTTCTAAAATACTAACAGTGGTATCAGAGTTACGTTCGGTCACCTACTAGGCGTAGCGAAAATTTTTCGACTACCTTAAAAAACTCAATCTCACTACACGTTACTTCCAAAAGAAAAATTCCAACCTATGACCACTATCAACCAAACATCATCTATTCCAATCCCTATTTTTAAGGGAGACAATTATGATTTTTGGAGAGTCAAAATGAGGACATTTTTTTGTTCTCAAGATCGTTGGGACATCATAGAAGATGAGTTCACTATTCCAGAAGACATCTCAGCTCTTACAACTGCCTAGAGGAAGGAGCTGAAGGAAAACAAACAGAAGGATTCAAGGACATTATTCACTCTTCAGCAAACAGTTGATGACACTATTTTTCCAAGAATAATGGGTGCTACAAGTGCAAAGGAAGCTTGGAATATAATTTAGGAGGAGTTTCAAGGAAGCGATGAGGTACGCAATATTAAACTCCATTTACTAAGAAGAAAATTTGAGTTAATAAGAATGAATGAATCTGAGACCATAAAAGACTACTATTCTAGAATAAAAGAAATAGTTAGTCAGGTAAGAGCCTATGGGAAAAATATTCTTGATAAGAAAATTGTTGAGAAAATTCTAATTTCTATTCCCAAAAAATATGATGCAATTGCAACTGCAATTGAACAAACAAAAGAGTTATCTAAATTATCGGTGACACAACTAATAGGCTCTCTTGAAGCATATGAACAAAGATTGAAAAAGCATGAAGAAGACTCAGTCGAAAATGCCTTTCAATCAAAACTAAAATTACGGTCTCAAAATGAAGGAAATAAAATTAATAGATAACTTTCTAATAATAAGGAAAATTCTAAAAATTTTTCCAAGACTATTCAAGGAAAATATCCTTCATGTGGCACTTGCAAAAAGACAAGTCACTTGGAAAAAGATTGTTGGCATCGAGGAAAACCTCAATGTCAATACTATAAGAAATTTGGATATGTAGAGAAAATGTGTCGCAACAAAAATCATCAATAAACAAATTTTGCTGAAGAACGGGATAGAGGACAACATATCTTCTATGCTACGTGATGTTCTGACAATGAATCAAAAGGAAGATGGTACTTGGATAGCGGGTGTAGTAACCATATGACGAATGATCCAAGCATCTTCAAAGAAATTAATAATTCCATCAAAGTTCAAGGGCGATTGGGAAATGACACCATGGTAGAGTCGAAAGGAAAAGGCAGTGTTATGGTGGAGACCAAGAAAGGTATGAGACCTATCAATGATGTCTTACTAGTTCCCAATCTTAAAGAAAATCTTTTAAGTATTGGTCAAATGATGGATAAAGGATATACTCTTCACTTTGAAAGAGATACATGCACTATCTATGATAAGAAAAATCTAGAGATTGACCAAGTAAAAATGGAAAAGAGAAATAGAAGTTTTCCTATAAGCTTCAATCGAGGAACTAACATTGCCATGAAAGTAGAAGTTGATGACTCGTGGCTATGGCATTGTAGATTTGGCCAGTTCAATACTCATACCTTAAAGCTACTACATCAAAAAGGCATGATGAGAGGTCTACCAAGCCTTAAGAAGAGTAGCGAAGCTTGTGAAGGATGTCTTCTGGGAAAGCAACACAAATTACCATTTTCTACGGGAAATACTTGGAGAGCAAAAGACTTGTTAGAGTTAATCCACACAGATATTTGCGGACCAATGATGACTCCATCTCTTCATAACAACAGGTACTTCATTCTTTTCATTGATGATTTTTCTAGAATGACTTGGGTCTACTTCATTAAAGCAAAATCATAAGTCTTTGGAATATTCAAAAAATTTAAGGCCCTTGTCGAAAAGCAAAGCAGAAAATAGATAAAGATGCTCAGGAGCGATCGAGGCAAAGAGTACACCTCCGACAAATTTGATAAATTTTGTGAAGATGAAGGAATAGAAAGACAACTTACAGTTGCATATACACCACAACAAAATTGTGTATCAGAGAGAAAGAATCACACAGTGATGGAAATGACGAGATCAATGCTGAAGGAGAAAGGCTTGCCAATTACGTTTTGGCCAAAAGCATTCTACACTGCCGTGTATATACTAAATAGATGCCCAACTAAGGCAGTTCAAAACAAGACTCCTATTGAATCTTGGAGTGGAAGAAAACCATCAGCTAAACACCTACGAATATTTGGATCAATTTGCTACAAACATGTTCCTGATCAGAGGAGGCATAAGCTTGAAGACAAAACTATAAGAGGAATATTTTTGGGATACAACCAACAATCAAAAGGTTATCGAGTCTACAACTTACAAACAAAGAAACTCGTCATTAGTCGAGATGTTGAGGTTGACGAAAATGCTTCTTGGAATTGGGAAGAAGAAAAAAATTGTTAGATGCAACATCCTGACTCCAATACAAAAACCTGAAGAAGACACATGAGATCCAAGTACGCCTCCACAAGAAGAAGAAGAAGAATATACTTCACCAGAGTCTACACCAAGACGTGTAAGATCTTTGGTAGATATATATATATATATATATATATATATATGAAACTTGTAACATGGCCATCATTGAGCCTTCCTGCTATGAAGAAGCTTCAAAGCAAGAAATATGTGTCAAGGCCATGGAAGAAGAAATCAAAATAATTGAGAAGAATAATACTTGGGAGCTTTTGGACTGTCCTCACGGAAAAGATATCATTGGAGTAAAATGGGTATATAAAACTAAGCTCAACCCTGATGAAACCATACAAAAATATAAGGCAAGATTGGTTGCAAAAGGATACTCACAACAACCTGGAATTGACTACAATGAGACTTTTGCTCCAGTTGCTCGTCTGGATACAATTAGAGCTTTAATAGCCCTTGCTACATAAAAAGGTTGGAACATTCATCAACTGGATGTCAAATCCGCCTTTCTCAATGGAACACTTGAAGAAGAGATATATGTTAAGCAACCACAAGGCTTCATCAACAAAGGCCATGAACGAAAAATACTAAGACTAAGAAAAACTCTATATGGTCTGAATTAAGCTCCTCGAGCATGGTATATCAAAATTGATAAATATTTTATCAATCAAGGATTCAGGAGGAGCAAGAGTGAGCCAACACTTTATATCAAGACACAAGTACTACTACAAAATATACTTTCAACGTCGCCATTTAACGTCGGTTAAAGCTGAGCCGACGTTAAATACACTTTCAACGTCGGTTGGTTAAAAAACGACGTTGAAAGTGGAATGTTGGACACATTCTACGTTGGTTCTTAGTCAACCGACGTAGAAAGCACTTTCCACGTCGGTTCTAGATGAACCGACGTTGAAAGTCTTTTAATTTAGACATTCAATGTCGGTTCCCAAATGAACCGACGTTGAAAGTCTTTTAATTTAGACATTCAACGTCGGTTCCCAGATGAACCGACGTTGAATGTATTTTAACCCAAAAATTCTCTTAATTTCAAGAATTGTCACTAACGAGATTCGAACTCGAGTATTTTAGAGTTAAAAGTTGATACTCCAACCACTAAACTACTGTAATTTTCTCGATAATAACTTACAAATTAATTATATTTATATACAAATAAATATATATATGTGTAAATATATATTTATTTATATATATTTTCCGGAAAGTGTTTTTATTTTTTTTCAACCAAAAATTTACATAAGTTCGAGAATTGTCACTGACAGGATTCGAACCCAGTATTTTAGAGTTAAAAGTTGATACTCCAACCACTAAACTACTGTAATTTTCAGATAATAACTTACAAATTAATTATATTTATATATAAATAAATATATATCCGTGTAAATATATATATTTTCCGGAAAGTGTTTTTATTTTTTTTTCGCCAAAAATTTACTTAAGTTAGAGAATTGTCACTAACAGGATTTTTTGAACCCAAGTATTCTAGAGTTGAAAATTGATACTTCAACCACTAAACTACTATAATTTTTTTATAATAATTTACAAATAAATTATATTTATATACATATAAATATATATTCGTGTAAATATATAAATATAGAATATATAAATACAAATATATTTATATATTTTTATATATTTATATATATTTATATAGTTATATATTTATATGTTGGATGTGAAGGCGCGTTCGAGGGTGAAAGTGAGATTGACTCTCGCTTGAGTGAAAATACGTTAAAACTCACGGAAATTCACTCGTTCAAGCCTTGCTTGAGCGAAAATTGGTATTTTTCGCTTGAGCGAATGATGCGTTTCTCATATTTATTTTATATCATTAATAAATTATAAATATTATATTCTGTCATTAAATTACAAACCCATATAAAGAGACTCGTTCACAAATTTGATATCAAATTTTGAAAACTCACTCGACACACTTTTACCTTCGAGCGTGCCCTCACATCCAACATATAAATATATAATTATATAAATATATCAAAATATATAAATATATTTGTATTTATATATTTACACGGATATATATTTATTTGTATATAAATATAATTTATTTGTAAGTTATTATCAAAAAATTCGAGTAGTTTAGTGGTTGGAGTATCGACCTCCAACACTAAGGTACTGGGTTCGAATCCTGTCGATGACAAAAAATTAATTTGGTAATGCTCTAAACTTTAAAAAAAGATGATAAATAATAAAAATATAATATAAAAGAGAGAGGGACCTAATAAAAATATAATATAAAAGAGAGGGGGGGGTTTCTAGATAAATAGAGAGAGGGGAGAGGGGTTGGAAATAAATAAAATTTTCGATTTGAAAGTCAGGACTTTCAACGTCGCCTGATACAGCGTCGGTTCTGGAACCGCCATTGAAGGCCTTCCAGAACCGACGTGGAAAGCCTTATTTGTAGTAGTGAAGGTCAGTATAATCTCATTGTCTCCTTATATGTTGATGATCTCATCTATACAGGAAATGATGAAAACATTCGAAATGACTGATCTTGGCTTGATGAACTACTTCCTTTAGTGGTAAACCTGTCACTATCCCTTTAGTGGTAAATGAAAAGTTAAAGAAAGATGATGGAACACCAGAAGCTGATGCATCACGCTACAGAAGTTTGATTGGAAGCTTACTATATCTTACCGCTACAAACCTTCTATCAAGGTTCATGCAAAGACCAAGTCAAATTCACTTTGGAGCAACAAAAAGGATTTTAAGATATCTACAAGGCACAAAGAACTTTGGTATATGGTACAAAACTATGAATGACTCAAAGTTGATTGGCTACACTGATAGTGATTGAACAGGATCAATAGACAACATGAAGAGTATGTCAGGATACACCTTCTCACTTGGATCAGGATTTTTCTCTTGGACATCTAAGAAGCAAGCAACAATAGCACAATCAACAGTAGAGACAGAGTACATGGCTGTAGCTAAGGCTACAAGTCAAGCTATATGGCTCCGAAGAATACTTGAAGAGATGGGAAAACAACAATATGGATCTACTATAATTTACTATGATAACAAGTCAGCGATAGCAATGACAAAGAATTCAGTCCATCATGAAAGAACAAAACATATAACTATTAAATATCACTTCATCAGAGAGACTGAAGCGACTAAACAAATTCAACTTGAGTATTGTACTGCAGAAGATCAAATGCAGACATATTTACCAAGACACTACCAATAGCCAAGTTTGAACAATTACGTTTCATGCTTGGAGTTACAGGAATTTGCATCAAGGAGGAGTGTTGAAAGATGATACAAATTCTAGAAAGATCTAGAATATAAAATCCTAGATGTTACTAAAATTAGGAATTCCATATGATTAATATCTAGAATCTTTAGAAGATTTTAGAAATGTTTGAAAGAAGAAGATGAATAATTCTAAAGTTAAGAAAATCTAGAATTATGTAGAACATTTAGAAGATGGTGGATTAAACCTATAAATATTCAATGTCACTTATGCAGTATGAATGGAAAATCTAATACAAACTCTTACATATATCTTGTAACACTTCTAAGATTAATTATTATCTTCCCTTGTACAAACTTTATCCTATTTGTCCACCTCTTTCTAAAAATTATTTTCTATACTAATTTCACTATTAAACATCAAACCATCTTTCCTATCCTTCGGGACATACTAACAACAGTTACATGTACACTTCTCTCTTGCTGCAACATACGTATTCGATATAAATCTCCGCAAATTGTTAACATGAAACAAGGAAATTACAATGTATATGGTACACGCAGATAAGCAGAGAGGGAGACCCAGTTCAAAGAATGTTGTTCGTGGTAAGGGGACACCTTCAGAGCAGCCAAGTCCTGCGAGACGGGGTGAAAAGTTACTGCATGTTAGGGCCTGGGAACTTCAGCGGCGACGAGCTTCTTTCGTGGTGTTTGAGAAGGCCATTCATAGAGCGTCTTCCACCATCTTCAAGCACTTTGGTGACACTTGAAGCGACGGAGGCATTTGGGTTGGAAGCAAAGGACGTGAAATACGTGACACAGCACTTCAGGTACACATTTGTGAAGGAAAAAGTTAAGAGAAGTGCTAGGTATTACTCCCCAGGGTGGAGAACTTGGGCTGCGGTGGCCATTCAATTGGCTTGGAGAAGGTATAGGCACCGTTTGGGGTTGAATTGTTTGTCCTTCATAAGGCCTCGCAGACCTGCCTCGAGGTGCAGTTCCATGGAAGAGGATAGGCTTCGTCTGTACACGGCTTTGTTAACTTCACCCAAGCCTAATCAGGATGACTTTGACTTCTGATCATAACCATGCACATTCCAACGCAGTTATATGTATATGGGTGTGGAATTTGATTAATTTGAATAAATTAGAGGCTAATGTATTCCCACGTGCGTGGATTAAACTAATGTTAGCTTAGGGTATGTTTAGCTGACTTTTCTTTTACTCAAAAGTCTTTTTTTTTTTTTTTTTTTTTTTTTTTTTTTTTTTTTTTACGTTGAAACTTAAGAACTTAAAAATGGGGATAAAGGTAGAAATTGCTTGCAATTTTCATTTTTGTAGTTTGTAAAAACTTTTAAAAATAAATTATTTGATTTTTATAAAAAAAATTATTTCGTTTAAAAGAAGTATATTGTTCCATAAAAAAGTGAATTTATAAGAATTTAAAAATTGAGAAATATTAATTTATTTATGTTTTTAATAACAATAAAAATATTAAAATAACATTTTCAAATTTTAATTTTAAAAATTTCAAAAATTATTTTAGATTATTTGAAATTATATATATGTGCAATATTAATAAAAAATAAAATATTGATTACAAATGACAAAAATATTTAACTTATTGATTTTTCTTGTTTAATAATACTTTAGATTCAAAACTAAGAATTTTTATTACAATCAATCATTTAAAAACAAGAAAAATACTAAATACAATAATTTCCAATTTGTAAAAAGTTACGAAACTATCAAAAACTTCTACCACTTTTTTCTAAAGATATATATTTTGTTATTTCCTTTAAAAATAAGCCTACTTTTTAAAGAAATTTCATCTAAAAAGTGTTTAACCTAACAACTTGTATTTTTAAGAAATAAAATAACTAAAAATAATTCAGATCAAATACCTCAATAACGGTTTTCTCTCTCCTAGTGTTTACATCTATAGCTTACTAGTATCATGACCGTGGAACGTACGGGATTCTTGAAATTTTTATATTAATAATAAATAATACTTTAATATTAATAATTTTTATTAATATAAAAATAAGAAAGAAAAAAGTAAATATTATAAATAATCTCAAATTTTTAAAATTTTAAATGCAAAAGTTAAATGTAAAAAGATCGTATAAAATAAAAAATCTTATAAGAGATGAAAAATAAATTCGATGAAATTATGTAATATAAAATTTATAAAATACCTTATTGATTTCTATAATGACAAGTGTAACATCAAATTTGTAATAATAACAAACCAAAATAGATGATTATAATAATTTATAAATTTTATTACATGAAAAATGATAAATCTATCGAGAAATAGTATAAATTTATACTATAAAATATATATCACTTAATTAAACAATAAAGGAAGAAAAAGAATGAACAATGAAAAAATTATAATTTGTAAAGTAGTTATATGATTGTCAATAAAACTTACTAATTATATAATTTAATGATCATTGAATGAACATAATTTTTAAGTAATAATGAGCATCATAAATATTGATTTTCATAAAGTAAATAATTAAAAAAAGTATAACAAATAAATGAAGTAAATATGTAATTTTTGGTATAATAGTGTATCTACATGTATTTAGAGATTTTCAAAAAATGTCTTTGTACATTACAATTTTTAGTACATGATGCTATATTTTCTTCTTTATCCAATATACGTATTTTCAAGTATTTCTTTGTTTCTTTGTTTTGATTCCGAAAATGGCCACAAGGAATCGATCATGAATGAATATTGGACGCAGAAGATAAAGTCAAACTTTAAAGAAGATTGACCTTGACTATTATTGTTTATCATTGCAAAACGCAATAATAATGAAAATTGTCTTCTTTAAAACTTGAGAGGAAATTTAGATCAGAAGGAATCAAATTCATTCTTGGTATAAAGATTTAGTCTCTCCAATCTTTTCTCCAGCAATCCCAGTAGTTGAAATGACATTTTTTTTTTCAAATCATTCACTTACAATCTTATTCCGTTACATAAATCATTTGCTTGATCAATGTTTCTCAATAACATTACGGGAACACCAACTTTTTGTTAGACAAATGACATCTAGAGGGGGATGAATAGATGCACAAATTAAAATAGATGTCAAATTAAAAATTTATTTGTGAGTCAATAATTTGTTTGAACACAGATAAAATGGAAGCGTTAATATAATCAGGAAAAGAGAAAGAGATAAGGGAAAGAGAAGAGCACACAAAGATTTATATTGATTCGGGTATAACCAACCCTACATCTAGTTCCCAGTCAACTCTTAACACAAGAGTGACTCCCCATTCACTATCTTTCAAATTCAGTTTACAAATTACAATCAACTCAACAGAAGAACCAGTAAAAAGTAAACTAATTAAAAAGACAATCACTTCCTTAGAAACCCACTAAGGATGAACACCTCCCTAGAATCCCACTAGGGATGAACACCTCCTCTGAACAAATCAAAGGATGAAAACACCTCCTTAGAATCCCATTAAGGATGAACACCTCCCTAGAATCATAGTAGGAAAAAAAAACTCCTTTTCACCAATACAAAAAGGATGAAGGTAATAAAAATAAGAACAAACACACCTGGGTAATGGAGACAACAAATTGTAAAAGCCTGTAGAATGCCAATCTCCAAGAACAAGTGTGATTAACAATGAAAACACATAAGGCAGTAGAGAAGAGGGTTTTCTCAAAAGGTGTAAAATATCTCTGTTGCCTTGCTCAGAATTCTTTTATCAAAACTGATTGAATGTAAATTGTATTTTCGAATTCTATAATTGTGTGTTTTTTATTTTTCATCAAAGCTTAATTAAATAGAAAAATAGCATCAGAAAATGACCGTTGAACATTAATATTTTCATGAATAAAAATCAGGATATATTCAGAAATATTTATTCTTCAAAACAAATATATTTTTCAAATTTGAATTGCCATAATTGATTATGTTACCAATATAATCAATTATGACAGAGAAAATCATTTTTTCATTTCTGATGCATCATAATTGATTATGACAGTGAAAAATATCATGTTATGAATTTTATCACACTTGTGCTTTGGAGGCTTATGCATAATATTACTTCATCAACTTGTACCTCCATATCCAGTATTCTAAGACTCTATCTAGTCTTCAGGAATCATCTTGGGCTTGCTTGAATTATCATCTTTATCAAAAACATATCTTGGGCATGTAGGGAAATGTTTCATATTTTCACCAACGTCATAAATTCAGCTTGTCCTTAATTCATATTGAATGGTGTTGACTTGAATGTAGTTGACTTGAATCATCATCAAAATCATCTCTTGGGAATGTAGGGACATTTCCATCAATCTCCCCCTCATTGCTTTCAATCTCCCCCTTTTTGATGATGATCAAGGAAACACCTGAAATGAATTAAAATGCTTGATATAGTCAGTTCAAGATTAACGCAGATTTGTATCAAGTGTTAGAGTCTCTTAATCTCCGCCTGGATATATTAATAACAAGACTCCCCCTAACTCATATGAGCAAAGACTTCTCTTAACTCCCCTTATTTAATATAGATAGGAAAGAATTTCATACAGATTTTAATTCATCAAAAAATCTCCCCTTATTTCATTGATAATCATAAAAAAAATTATAAGAAAAAATATTCCCCTATTTCACACATATTCATATCATCAAAATATCTCTCTGTTTCATTGATAATTATAAAAAAATATTATAAGAGAAAAAAAAAATTTCCCCTGTTTCACACATATTAATATCATCAAAATATCTTCCTGTTTCATTGATAATTATGAAAAATATTATAAGAGAAAAAAATATCCCCTTGTTTCACAAAGATTAATATCATCAAAATATCTCCCTATTTCATTGATAATTATGAAAAATATTGCAATAGAAACTGAGAACAAATTTGCACATATTAGTACATAAATCAAGGTAAAGAAGATAATGCATTACAAAGTGTCATAGAGAAGAACATCATATTAAGGAAGCAATATCTAGGATACCCAATACAAATGAAGAGAGAGAAAGGTATGGGAATAAAATGATTATAGAGATAATGGAATGAAATACAGTAGTTTCCCTCAATTGCAGTCTTCTTATTTAGGCAGCTTTCAAATTCAAATGCACTCATATTCCAGATTTCAAATTTCAAATTCAAATTGCTATAAATTTCAAATTTCAAAATCTCAAACTACAAAATTTCAAATTTCAAAAATCTCAAAAAATCTCAAACTGCAAAATCTCAAATTTCAAAAATCTCAAATTGAAAAATTTCAAATTTCAAAAATCTCATACTGCAAATTTTTAAAAAAATCTCAAATTGCAAAATTTCAAACTTTAATAAATTCAAATTTTCATAAATTCAAACTTTCAAAATTTAAACTTTTAACATAATTGATTATGACAACAAGAAAAAAATTTTCGATTCGATAATCAATTAGATGCTCAAACTATCATCTAGACATGTATAAATGTTTTGTTCCTTTAGGCACCCATTTATATTTGTCATTAGATATGTCAAAATGTTTTATGTAACATTTATTTGATGTATGACCTATTTTCATGCAATAAAAACATGTTGGTTTTCTTTGAAAAGGTCTAAATGAGTTTCTTAAAGTTTTTGAAACTGGTTTCACATCTGTTTTCCTTGACTTCTTCACAAAAATAGTTTTATGAGGTTCTAGATTTTCTTTGGGTTTGTAACCAAGTTCAGCTTTGCTAGAATTCCCTCTTTGATAACCTAATATAGAATGAAGATTTTCAGAAGATTTTGAAAACTTGCTTATTATTTTCTCTAACTTGAAAATCTCATTTTCCAAATGATTACAATTTTCACAAGATTTAGCAACTTCTTTATTTTTAGACAAAGTTTTAAATTTCTCAACATCTTTCTTTAAGCACTCATTTTCTTTTTCAAGAATACCAACAGTATTTTCTAATGCATTAAACTTTTTCCTAAGTGCATTGTATTTCTTAGATAACTTGGTAAAACCTTCATACATATCTTGATATTCTTTAAATAACTCATCATATTCATTTAAGGAATTTTTACTACTTACCTGTGATGAGGCTTCATCATTAGTTTTTGTC